ATTCTTTAAATGTTCAAAATGAGTGAATTAAGTCTAGATGACTGAACAATTCATATTACTAAACACTGTTTGAAGTCCATCCTTTGTAACTCAAAACATTTTCTGATAAAAACATGTTCTAAAAAACAAAAAAACCCAAAACTAACAATGTTCCACATGGTACTTATAGCGCCTGGGTTTGGCCGCCAACATAAGTCTGATTCACATGCTAGTGGGTGTTTTGGCTCCTGCAAACAGGCTCATTGAAAAGAGGAGTGTGAAAGAGAATTGTGAGAAGAAGGAATGAAAAAATTAAGAGGGGAGAGAAGAGTATTCGCACACATATGTAATACTTTGACACATAAACACCACTGTTCCGTAACTCTACGCCTGTCATGTATCAATGATACAAATAAATACAAACAGACATAGCAGATCCCTCAACTGTCACAACAGGTTTTCAAGGTGAGCTCTATGTGCCAGGCCAGCTCTCTAACTGGACATCCAAGAGGTGGGCAAGGGTCATACTGATTATGAGAAAAATGGCACCCACGTTACAACGAGAGCAACTAGAACAAATGTTGCACTGCTGGTCCTTTGGGGAAAATTAGACAGCCATCTCGATCCGACCGTTTCGTGTCGTGAAGCTGGCCTGGGTCACTGGTGCCGGAACAGGCACTCTGGAGTCGGAGCCATCCCCGGGCGGGGCAAATGGCTAAGTGCTCCTGGCCTTGCCAAAGGGTGGCTGTCTGAGTGTACCCAGGTGTCAGAGGAAGCGCTGTGACAAACTCATCAAATCAATTTCGCAGGAAGCCCTAGGTTCCAAACTCTCTAGTGAACGCTGACCCTTACCCCACACCTGCAGATCCAAGGTAAAAGATAAGCCCATACAGAGCCCACAGGCTTTGTCTCTATCAATTCAAGTTGGGCATGGGGCTTGATAACAGAGAGGGTGGGAAGGAGGGGTGCGGTAAGGGAGAGAGCGAGAGAGAAAAGCAGGAAGAGTGAGAACCTGCCTGTCTTGATCTTACATGATTCTCTGATTATGAAACCCAGATTAGGTAAACCTATCAACAGCTGAATGGACAGATTCAAAGGGACATGAGAGGGGAGGCTGGCAGGAAACGGGGAGCAACACTGAGTCCAAGGCAGAGGAAGACGTGTGCTGGAACTGACTGTGATGAAGGGTGCACAGGTCTCATGAATGTGACTGAACTGCTGCACTGCATGGTAGATGATGTGTCTGTGAAACTGCTCACAGTGAGAAGAAACGGAGACGGGAGAGCATGTCAGAGTGGACTAGAACACAGTCCGAGACCTGCTGACCAAGGAAACGCCTTTTCAGTAAACACTTTGCACTTATTAGACAAAGCTATAACTTTTCACTAACTTCAACAATAAATCATTTACCTAAACAAATGCACCTTACCTAACTTTCTCTTCATGAAAATTTCAGGGTAATAGAAATTGTTGTCTAAATAACTAAGGAAGTTTTTACAACTTCAATATATATATATTTTTCACTTCTTTCCAACTGAAAATCTGGGCATGTGATGGAAACTTGATGGCATAGAATGTAAACCTTTACAGTTCTACTTGCCAATAGGCCAGTCTATATTCAAGTATCAAAATCTCAGAATAAAAGAAAACCAGTCTCTGGTCCGATGGATTCTAATTCAACTGCATCTCCAGAAATGTTACCAACAACCCAGTGAGAGAGAAGACGTGCCCACAGGTCTGCAACCACCAACCATGCTTCCGGCAGACCCTGCAGCACCTCGGTGCTTCATGACCCCGCTCACTCCTGCTCTCGCGCCGAGGCTGAGCGTGCCAAAGGTCACTCACTGGGTGGAACACAGATTTCACAGGGGAAAGAAACAACCCCTCTTTAACTACACACTAAACTTCTATCCCTGACTAGAAATAGGCACGGATTTGAGAAACTTACCACCACATTTAGAAGAATAATTCTTCAAAATGAATGTGCTGAGAAAGAAGTTTTGTCCTGATATAAAAAGGGAAAATAGTTCATATTGCTTAAATTAACCTAATCCAATTAAATAATTAGATTGTGGGAAGTAAATATGAAGCCAATGTTGGTCGCCTTTTAAGATTGGCGGGGCGGGGGGGGGGGACGGACATCACGCGTTTTCGAACAACTCTGTAAATGTGGTTAATAACACTGTGAAACAAATCACTCAGCTTTTTAAATTACGGAAAACATAAATATCTGGCTTTACCTTTAAAATTTTCTGGTTCATTTGTAGCTAGTTTTCGCCTTCCTGGTGAATCTAGAGGTTTCATATCATGAACAGAAAGCTTTGGTGGTGGAATAGATGGATGAGATTCTGTTTCTAGAAATTTAACAAAAAGTTCTGAAAAAGACTAACAAACAAACAAACAAAAGCTGAGAACTGGTTACATTTAGACTCAATAATTAATTACATTAACAGCAACTAAGAAAAGGCACCATTGGTCTCACTAAATATTAAAACCTAATGCCATTTAAATGGCATTATTTCAGATAAGATTTGTGAACCATTACAATTGTTAATATTTTAGCTATATGGGTATCAATTATAATTTTTTTTTTTAATTTAGTCGATATTGTTTGATGACAACACTCATTGCAAAGACCTTATAATCACGTCAAACAACTGACAAACCTTGTATTTCTTGCCACCCATGATGCTTACAACAGTGAGGCTCAAGAAATCATTTCAACCTCTTTACCAGACTTGAAGATTTACAGAGAAGCAAGACTGATTACATTTTGCTATAAAGACCCCATTAACAACCGTGGCGAAAGGCCACGAGGAATACTACCGGGTGGATTAAAGCAACACAATAGCGACCGATCCTTTCAAGAAAGCTGTGTGTGATGCAAGTGAAACAGCTCTGGGTCTCATCCCCAACTAACCAGTTCTGGGCATGTAACCTATCCTCAGTTTCTTCTCTATTAAACAATCAAAAGGCAACATGGCTAAACAACAGGCCACACAGACTTCAGGCCACTGAACTGCATGGCACATAGGAAGATTGTGGAAATGGCCAAGGCTTTGTTACCTACTGGGGTGCGGGGGGCTTGTGGAAAAGGTCTGTTATCTTTTCATTCTGTTTTTCCACAAACTTTTTGAAACCCCCTCATGTGTTTTCCACAATTTAAATATAAGTAAAATGAAAGGAAAATTAACCCTGAGATTCTTCTTTCCAATGCAAACTAGCTTCTTCTGTCTCTGTAGCCCCGTTTCCCTAAGCCCCCCAATCAAAGGGCTGAATACAAAGAAACTACAGCGGACCTGCTGAGACACTTTGCGCACGCGCCCCTCCCACCCCAACCTCGCCTGCCTGCAGGCGGCAGAGCAGTCCTTACGCTGTTCAACAGAGACCGCTGGTGGGGTCTCAGAGGTGTGTTGGGAACACTTTTTGATCCTCCTCCAAGCCATCCAGTCATCCACCTGGTTACACCGCCTTGGTCTTCATCAAGCAACTGAAAGATTATTTTAAAACAGAGAGAAGTTCTAAGTATTGGGGGTGGGGGGAAGAAACATCCATTTTTAGACAGTTCCAGATACAGCTCTGAGTGGCTACATTCTCTGGAATGGACGGAGGCTATGGAGACCATGAAATGCTTTCCCAGCCAAGTCCAATAAAAGCTTTTGGGATGATCCTGTATCAAAATGTAACTATATTTGATACGAAGGGATAAGCTGCAAGAGATATAAGTAAATTGTGAATGGAACAAAGCCACCTGTTTGCTGCAGAATGAAATGACGCCCTTTCCACATCACTGACAGAATTACGTTCATTACAAAGGATCCAGGACACAGGGACGGGAGCAACGGGGAGTGGGGATGGCGGCTGGCGTGCGAGCCTGTTACCTGCTCCATCTCCTCCCTTTTGATTCCCAAGATGCTTCCCATCAATCGTAACACTTCACGACGCTTATTTTTCGGAGTGTGAAAATGTCCAATGAAGAGGTTTCTCATCAGAACTCTGAAAATGAAGGCAGCAACAGCTTAAGCTAACACAAGTGACCCCAACGTTGACCGTACACAGACAAGACGCACTGAGTGTGTTTCCCCAAAGATGGGACAATGACTTAAAGTAGCTCTCTCTTGGCACGTCTACGAGGACTCTGGACAACTCAGGACAGAGTTGTTTGAAAAACCTAATCCTCAGCAGGCACCGCAAGGCCTGCCGGGCTCATGCGCCCCACCGCCCGGACCCCACTGGGAATGGTGTTGCTGGTTCTTGCCCTATATTATGATGCTCCCACTCTCATTTATTAAAAATTAATGTGCTGGTAACCTTAAACGATTATGCACACACAGCTAGGATTTAGACCCAAAACATTTTAGCCGGATGATATGTTTCATGTTCACTTGAGGGCAATGACAGGAGTTTTCACAAAATAAATAAGCATAAATTTTTATTATCTTCTGAAGTATTTATTTCATAGCATTTTTTGACATGTGTATAAAATAATTTGTGGTAAATGTTAATGTATCCAGATGCTCACCAAAGAAACATGCCTGTAAATAACTGAAATTAGATTTTCTTGCTGATCAGAATTTCCCCCATTTATAATCAGTTTGGAAGTCTAGACGCTGGGGCAGTTCTGTGACTTGAGTCTGTAACATGGGATAACTGAACGCAGCCCCCAAATCTGGGTTGCTCAGACTTTCTGGTTCCCTGGAGACCCTCCGTAAGGACTCCTGGGCCCGGAGCCCTCGAGAGTCACTCTAAAGAAGGTAATGCAGCTACATCCACGTGAGGTCGATGGTAAAAGCCTCAATGAAAAAGTCCTCCTTACAAAATAAAAAACAAAAATACTTTATGTTTGGATGATGTTCACACCTTTGCGTGTGTTTTTTTAAAACAGTATGTTGGAGAGAAAAATCAATTTAAAACACAGGAGGAGGAAGGACATTATCTGTTTACCTCTCAATAAAAGTACCTACAACTCATCAATGTATAAAGAAAAGGCTTAAAAAATTAAATCACATGTAAACATCTACACACGAAAGTGATTTACAAGCAATGAATTATAGAAAAGTTAGAAAGCAGAGCATACTTATCCACTTTTCCTTCCGTGCTATTTACTAGGTCCATCAATTTCTTTTGTACATCATCCAACATTTCCTTTCGGAGCTCATCTGTTTTTTATAAAAAAAGAGGAATAGAGATTCTTAGTCACTGCGTGATTAAAGAGAGTCCAGATGAAAAGATAGTGAGATTTCTCACATCCTTACTGTGAATTTGAACATAGGCATGTATTTGAACTGAGACCCACTCAATTACTTTTCTCTCCTCCATGGTCCAGGGAAATCAGTGCTCCAAGAGAGAAATTGCCTAGAAGCCAGAGTATACATTACTCGCATGGTCTACCTCCAACCAAGCACCGATTCTTTAATGGAAAACTGAAAAACCAACCGAGGCCTCCACCCGCTTCAGACACTTAATAGCAAAGAAGAATCTCCCTTCCTTTTTTGCATAAACATTTCCAGCACCGCTCGGTCACGGGAAGAGGTCGGGAGGACAATTTTCAACTTGCCTTTTTCATTTTCCTGGCTGGCATCTGTTTTCGGTGATCTAAGAAGAATACTTCACACAACCAAGATGCCGGCTGGCAGGGCCAAGTACTCTGGGGTCAGAAAACTGCGAATGCCATTGAAATCACTGGTTCTAACATGTCGATCAGGACTGACCAGGCTTCTGACTCATGTAGGGGAGTGCCGGGACTCGTTTACAATTCTTAATGAAATGGAAGCCAAGTCCCCAAACATCTAGAACGTGAGCAGAACTGAAGGTGGGAGCGGTCGTGTTCCTCAATCCAACCCCACATTAAAGCCACGATTCAAGAACCCTCCGCCCGACCTGTGGCGTCTCCACCTGTCACCTCAGACACAGGCAGGGCGCTCCAAGAGGTGCTTACTCACGTCAAGCTACGTTACATGTGTTTGTTCGGGAAGAAATGGGGGGAAAAGCTGCTGCTTTTCAGCAGAGCTCTACTTCCCAAATCGAGGAAGGCGCATCCAAAAGACAGACCCTGACCTCCTGCCATGGACCGACTCTTTCTGTGGGTGATTCTACATTCCCTAGGAGCGGATGGGTAACAGGCTCCCCAATCAGCTATGACCTGCAGGCATTTTCCGCCAGGCTGCGGGCTGTCTGTCCACTCAGAGGCACCCTCTGAAGCACGGAAGGCCTTAGTCTGGAAGAAGTCCAACAGATGCAATGTGCTCTTGGAGTGCTTGTGCGGCATTGTGCCCAAGAAACCGCTGTCTCCGTCACTCAGGAAGACCAGGGTTTATTCTGCTGCGGCTCTGTACGCGCTGAACTGTAAAATCAGGGCTGTGAGCCTTTGGGAGTCGGTTTCTGTGCAAGGAGTGAGACAGGATCTGGCTTCATTCTTTCACGTGTAGTTCCTGTGCTTCCAGCACCATTTGTTAAAAAATAAAACGATTCTTTTTCCATTCAATTCTCTGGGCTCCTTTGTTGGGAATCAATTGACCATAAATGTATGGATTTTTTTCTGGGCTCAATTGTCCCCACAAGGCTCCTGCAAATGTTTTTCTTCGGCCTGGAGAAAGCTCTGTGTCTTAACCCTTTCGGTCAACACTACTATACCTACTCGGTTAACCCCCAGTTCAGCCCGCACGTTCTCTGAACCTCACAGATCAGGGTAGGTCTGCCTGCTTACGGCTTCCATCTATCCTGCCCAGTGCTTCTGCACTGTGATTAAAATGTACATTCACAATGTCCTGTTTAGCTGCTGGTGGCTTTTAAAAATCTAAATTGCACAATGTAATTCATATAGGAGGCTAACTTTACCAAAATAGGGATGGTTACTGTAACCATAATATAAAAGCAAAGTTGGTGTTGGGAAAATCTACTACTAACGTTTCCTTCCCTGTCTTTCCAGAAAGGAATTTAAACTTGGATAGTAGAAAGAAAAAGAAGCAATCCCACCCCACCCCACCCCACCCACCCCACTTCCCGATGGCCATGATTGAGTGAGGAAAAGACCTTTTAGCTTCGGGATGGCCACTTATCCACAAGGAGCACCTGGTGCTGCCGGCCTTTCCCAGTACTGCTTTCGGAGGGAGAGCAAGCAGCAAATAAGCGTGTTCGTCTCAAACGCACACTGTACCGACCATTACAGTATATACAGAATCGTTTCAGGACCTTAAGAATCCCCTGTGCTCTCCACTTATTCCTCCTCCCGTTACTCCCTTTCCTTCCCTGCCCCTGGCACCCATAGATCTTTGGTCAGTGTCTATAATTTTGACTCTTTCAAAATGACCTATAGTTGGAATCTTAGTCTGCAGCCTTTCCAGATGGGATTCCTCCACTTCACAAACTGCATTCAAGGTTCTTCCTTGTCCTTTTGTGGCTCGACAGCTCATTTCTTTTCATCACTGAATAGCATTCTGTTGTACAGCTGTGCTTACTACCTTTCACCTTGTCATCATCCTCTTCCCATCCCAACCCCCTCCCTCCTTCACATGTCCAAAGGCAGGCAGCATGGAATGATGTCCAGACACAGTGTGCATTTGTCAAAACCCACAGACGTGTGCAACACAAAGAGTGAAGCTTAACTAATATAAGCTATGGGCTTAAGTTAACAGTAATACAGCAAGTCCTCCATTTGCCATGCAAATCTAAGGTATTAATAAAAGGGGAAACAAGTGATCTAAAATTGATAGCGAGCAGGGTGTAGGATGCCTGGTGAGGGGTGATCAAGGGCAATGTGGCTAAGAGGAATTACTGAAGCCCGAATGAAGGCCGAACATGATAGTGGGAAAAGAGAAAAGGAAGAGGAAATAGAGGAAAGAACTAGGAGGCAAAGGACATTTATGGAGATCTAAATACTGCCATGTACATATGTAAATATATTTAAATATAACAACAGGGAATAGCTCTGTGTACATATATTTATATGTTTAAGTATTAAGGTGGCAGACAGACATTGGGCCTCTACTCAAGTCCTCCCTCAACGCAATAACACTTTGTTCTAACGACCTGGCATTCTGTGATGCTCACCTTCCCGACATGATCCGATTGCTGAAGACAAAGCGGGAGCATAAGCAAATGTGGTGAAGAAAGCTGATGGTGCCTGGCTATCAAAAGATGTAGCATCTGGGGGTCTTAAAGGCT